GCTTTGAGGATTTCCCAGATGCAAAACTTATTAACTTACCGAGATTATGCAGTGATCATCATCCAATCATGCTAAACATTGATCCCCCTAATCATATTTCTCGGGCAGCAAAGCCACCTAGATTTGAAGCTGCTTGGTTGACTCACGAGGGCTTCAAGGAGGTGTTCCGTGGTGCATGGATGACTCAAGAACACTCACTTCCTTTGGCTATAAATGCTGTGCGAAATGCCTGCTTCAGTTGGAACAAAACAATATTTGGGGATCTATTCCGACGCAAACGACTCTTAAGAGCAAGGCTCAGGGGAATACAGAACTCCCCTCATTACAATCACTCTCTTTCACTACAGAGTTTGGAAACTGAGTTACTGGAGGAGTATCATAGAGTGTTACATGCTGAGGAGATATTTTGGTGTCAAAAATCTCGTGTTGAGTGGATTAACTCTGGAGATCGGAACATGAGATTCTACCATGCATCTACTGTGATAAGAAGAGCAAGAAATCGCATCACGGCCTTGAAAATAAGTGATTCCTGGGTGACAGATCCAACCTCCTTGAAGACCCATGTTCGAGATTTTTTTGTGGAGCTATTTTCCCGAAAGGAAACTAGAGCTACATCTAATAATTACTCCTGCTTTCAGCCCAGAATGTCAGATACAGATAGTGCTTCATTGTTGTTTCCTATTTCCATGGAGGAAGTTAAGGTAGCACTCTTTTCCATGAAATGGCTAAAAAGTCCTGGCCCTGATGGTATTCAACCAATTTTTTACCAAAAACATTGGGAGACAGTTTCAGGTACTCTTCATACTTTTATCAATAAATCATTCTCTGATGGTTTCTTTGAGCCCACTCTGTTACAGGCTCATACTGTTCTTATTCCCAAAGGGGACAGCCCAGATATGATACAGAAATTTCGGCCGATTTGCTTGCTTAATGTAGCCTACAAGATACTCTCCAAAGTAATCGTTAACAGATTGCGTCCTCACTTGCAGAACCTAATCGGTCCTTTACAGAGTAGTTTTCTTGCGGGTAGAAGCACAACGGACAATATCATCCTGGT